CAGTGACAAGTGAATCATAAAATCTTTCTCTTCCTCCTCCTTTTCTCTTTCTTATTATGTAATTCTAGAAAAGACAGAAAATACTATTTTTGCCCTATATGCACTTATCCTATGTCAGATTGATATTTGATCTTTCAATTTTGTTGATATTCTATCAACAAGGCCAAGTGCTAGGAAATTAAAAACCAGAGTAGGCAAGAGATTATCAGTATTAACCAGATGTATCAAAGTTTAAAGCATCTAGTCTACTCCCTAGCTACATGACCCCTAGCACACAACTATTAGAGGCTTTCTATGAATGACATCCCCTATGAATATTAGCTTGACCCTAAAAATCCTTGAAATGAAGATCTTCAAGTCTTGGATCTTCGTGTTGCCTATAACGATGGACTGTTTGTATACTTGTCCTTCAAATTTCAATTTTATTTTAGCTTGTTTTTCCTTGACTTTTTTTAACAATCCCATCTTCTGAGGTTTTTCAATTGGAACTCCCCTAAATCCCCACCAGACTATTTTTTAATCTTCCATTTTTTTTGTTTCTGGTAGTTGGGGAGGGGACCAAAACCAAATGGATCATTTTATTAACTAATGTAGTACAAACAAGACTTGATCAGTTTATTAACTAATGTAGCACAAACAAGATGAATGATGCTGCAAAGTATTCTTAGTCCACCAGAAACAACATAGCTACAGAAGAATAGAATGATCTTGTGGAAAACCAAACAGAGATATATATATATATGATCTCAGAATTTTAAAAAAAAAATCGTTCAGGCTTAACTAGATTTAACAACATTTTTCCACCAGTATTATCTATGTTTCTTGTTTTCTCCTCTCACACTGCAGACTACAACAATTAATTATTGGTGCTAGTTAAACTTGGATTTATAGACCCTTCAGATCTCAAATATTTAGCAAATGACTGACAAAATAATTGAATCCTTGCTAGAATTATTCAAACTCAAAGAGACATCTATGCTGACAAAACGAAATAGCTTACAAGAAATGAGGTTAGTATGAATGCATCAAAAACCAAAGAAGCTTGATCAGAGTAGATCCGTCTACTCAAAATACCTAAACCTCATATAGTGTATGTCTTGACAGCACAATCTGTACAGTAAAAGTTCCAAATAAATCAGATAAAAGCTCTATCTGTCAATACCATTCACTTCAAAAACTTTGATAATTAGATACTCTTAATGTATGGAACAACTTTGAGAGAGAGAGGGAGAATGGTTTAATGGATCCAACTTGATACTGAGAATGGATAATTTGGTTAAGCACAGATTCTACTGCTCAATGTCCTACTTAGTGTGGGATCATGAGTTGATAAGAAGGGAAAAGAACATACTAGGCTAATATAACCAAACTCGTCTTGATAGTAACTTGTTCTGCTTCCAAATTTTTTAACAAGTGGCTCAAAAACATATGCATATTCCTATCATTAAGATGCTTCAGTCTACACAGATCTTTTGCATTATATCAATATAGAATTTGACATTGATAACATGAAACACGGTAAACAAAAATGTGACTATCATGCAATGTGCTTTGCTAATTAGTAAGCTTGAGAATCATTTGGCTTCAACTGTCGGATTAATCTGCAAATAAACATCATCTCATAGAATAGTTAACATTAGAAAATCAACGATATCAAATTTAGATGTACTAATTTTGTTCCCTTACATCTATGAATGATATCGATTGTACATGGAACCAAATTCTCTAGTACCAATTGTCATGGTGAGAATACACACAATGGCCCAACAACTCCGATATATCAAAGTGCAATGTGAAAGTTCCATAATACTTGTGAGATCAACTCTTCCATGAATAGGATTCATTAGCATCATCAAACAAGTATAGTTTCTTCCAATAATCACCCAAAATAAGTAACAATTGGAGAAACAGTAACATGTTCAACACTCACAGAAAGCATCATGGTTTCATGATTTTGTTATATCAGAATCATTGAATATAGTCCGAACTGTGTTATTAAGCTGATCTTACCAGCCCCCGTAAGATTTCATCATGAGAAAATGTGATATAAGAATTCTTATTTTGCTGATGTTATCAGTACCCTGAGACTTCACTATGATATGAGAATATTCACAAAATCCTTCGATAAATAAATAAAAGGATGATAACATATTCCCTACATCTTACCAAAAGTAACCATAAACTAGAAGTAAAAAAGGAAAGGCAATGATCGTGTGATCAAGTAGATACCTCAACCATGAGAACGCCAGGCATTATCGGACGCTCGGGGAAATGTCCCGGGAAGAAGTTATCATTAATGGTAACGTTCTTGATGCCAACAGCTGTATGTCCAGGCGTGTATTCGATCACTCTATCAACCAACAGAAATGGAAACCTAAAATCCAGGCCGCACATCATCAGATCAATCTCCAGCATCGTACTCGGATCAATAATACAAACCAAAACAACCGAGAGGCGAACTATTCTCACCGATGAGGCAAAATGTTGCGGATCTGATTTATGTCCATTACAGCCGGAAACGGCGGGAACCCTTCAAATCCACCAACAAAAATAAGCAAAATGAGAAAACACACCAACAAATCACCGATCTCGGAGCAAAAGAATCAGAAAGGAATCAACTTTTCTCGATGGGAACATCCGCTTTCGTCTCGACCCAGTCCAAGGAACACCGGGTTAGGAACCGGTTGATCTTCTCTAATCGCAACGCCGAAGTGGAAGTTTTGGGGTTTGAGATGGAGATAGGGCGAGTAAACCTCGCGTGAACCCTGAGGGGCGGAGAGGAGAGGGGCTCTGGGTGCGCGCGAGGGCCACTTAGGGGCGGAGACGCGGTGAGGAGAGATCTCGCCATGGTCGAAGCTTCCATCAACTGAGGTAGCGGTGTAGAGAACGAGGATCGGCGAGGCAAAATGAGCGCTGTCGTAGCGTTGGATGGGATCCTCTCCATTACTTGGTATACCCATTTCTTTTTAAACGATCTAGATCACTCAACGGAGGCGGGACCCTTTGTTCTAAGTGATCTTGACCGTTTAATGGTTTTGAGTACTGGAATCAGATCCAAGTGATTAGGCGGAGGACACGAAGTTGCCTCACGACAGGAACCCTTCGTGGACTCGAGACGCGATGTGAGACACGACGGCAGAAGAGCTTGGGTCCAATTAGGCTTTAAATCTGGTTGGGCCATAAATATGGGTTCAACGGAGACACAACACTACTTTTGGTGCCTAATTTTTTTCCATTACATTAAATTATGTATAATACATTTTGAGATATTTCTTCCCTTTTTTTTCTCCATAATAACTCTTATTTTTATTTTTTTCAAATGGTATTTTTATTTTACGTAATCTCATAAAAATTCTTCCATTCCCTTCCCTTTCTTATCTGTCGCTATTATCTTGTCGGTGCCACTTATCATTCCATGACTCAGTGTTTTTTTTCACCCATCATCTTCACTTCATATAACAAAGAAAAGATGAAAAATACGAAGGTGATGGATGTGATAATAAAAAAGAGTGAAGCCTTGCGACGATTGACATGAGAGAGGTGATGGGTAGAGAAGGACATCATATTAGATGCAATGAATTATCAAAGCAAACAATGAAGATGATAAACACGACAAGTAACGAAGGATGGGTGACATTAGCAAGATGAAGACGACAAAAGCGATGGGCTAAGAAAAAACAAACTTAGAGATCCTATTTGGGGAAAAAAATAAAAAAAATAATTTTTAAAAAAATTAACCTTTTTTTTGGTTTTTATACAAACATATATACATCCTTTTATTTATTTTTTATTTTCTACAAACTAAAATTAGGTTATTGCTAACATAAAGATTCAGCCTCACGCTTTAAAGTTGGACTAAATGTCGCCTCGAATCCAAATCTAAAGGACTTTTAAGGAGCTGCGAAAGCAAAGTTGCTTGCACTATACGCGTAGTATGTTCTTTATACTATTATGAGCTACGGATCCTAATCATACAGTATATTTTATATTAACATGACGCAGATGGAAATTTATTTTGTATCAGACACTTCAAAAGTTGGTGACATGAAATTATATTCTAAATTATTTAAAACGTTTATATTGTTCTGACTTAATCCATAATTTATTATTATTATTATTATTACATATTATTGCCAAATTGTATATTTTGCTACTAAAATTCAGATTGATTTGATTTAATATGCTACATAATGTAACACTTTTAGTATAATACAAATCTATCCATTCAAAGTTTAGTAAATAGCATGGATTAGAGTTTGGATTGGCTCCAAATAGAAGATGAGTGGTGGAAATTATGGGTTAGAGTGGAATATAGTTGATGAAAATTCTACGTGTTACGTCTCTACTTAGTCCTCTTTAGTATTTCGATTTTTATATTTTAAAAATATATATTAAAATTTTTATAGTCAGACAACTCTCTCATTTCGGTCTTTAGATTTAAAAAATTTATATTAAAAATTTTATAGTTATGAAAGTGAAATATTTAATCTTATTTACCATAATACTATCGATTTTATTGACGAAAGATATAAATTTAGTTAAAATTATCTATTTACCTATTATTTTCGTATCATTCATGATTGTCGTTCTTAGGGACAATCATCATAATAATCACTTACAGAATGATCATCCATCGTCGTTATTAAAATTATCTTTTTTCAATCAATTTCGTGTTCTTTACATGTATATCGTCAAGTGTTATATCTTCCATCGGTAAAATCAATAATGTTAGGATAAATAAAATTAAATATTTTATTTTTATGATTATCAAGATTTTAATATAAAAATTTTTAAGTCTAAGGATAAGATGAGATGTAATTATAGAGATTTTAATAAACTTTTTTAAATCTAAAAATCAAAATACTAAATATATTTAAATTTAAAAATAATTTAAAATGATTTAGATATAAGAGTCGTATTTCAGGTATAAAATAGAAAATAAAAACAAATACGAAAGAAGAAAAGAGATGCTCGTCACAGAGAGAGAGAGAGAGAGAGAGAGAGAGAGAAAAGTTTAGATTGTCGGCGGTCGTCTTCGTGAACTCAGGTGCCATGTGTCGTTTTCGTTCTCGAGACAACTCGTCAGGCTTTCCTTAGAAACCTCAACGTTCACGCATTGCTTGCTGGCAGTATCGGTGCAAGAGACAGCGAGGGGTCCAAATCAGTCATCCGCATGCTTTTACTGCTACTATTGCTGGCCAGAATATGGGCAGCAGAGAGCAACGTTGGAAGTTTGAGTCGAGGGAGAGGGAGCGCGAACCCAAAATTGTCGTCGTCTCCACTCTTCCAGAGTTCTCCAATCTCACGAATCCTCAACCCCGCCCCTCGGTTAAATATTCCCCTCTCGAACTCGTGGTGCATCAGATCTACGGCTTTGCTTCTCGCCGCCATGGATTCATAGAGCAGAATCGGATCGATTTCGCCCCTGATTTTACCATGGCCTATGAGGTGCTGCTAACGCTACGATCGTTTTTCTATCTCCTCGATCCCTCGCTCTTAATTTCTTATTTTGATTTCGGACTTCGACTCAAATGCATGAAAAAACTATTGATTTTGATGTGGGCGTTTTATTCATATTTTCTGCCGAAAGAATATTGTTTTCTTCTTTGTTGCCCGAAAGATTGGGTTTATATAAAGCACTCGCTTTCTCTCCCTTCCATCATGAACAACTTCGGGGGCCAAAATAATTCGTTGCTTTTATTTTTGTATTTTTTAATGTTGTCGTTATTATAAAGTGTTAAAAGAAGCCTCTTAAACTGTTAACGTTTCGATGCCATCTAACCATGATGTGATTGTTGGTGAACACTGTTGCTATTTGAATCTTTTGTTTTTGGGGTGAAAATATCTCTTGAAGCTCTAATGGAGTCATCTCTTCCTTGTGAAAGACTGCATTTTTTTGAGAATTCGGCGACGGAGTAATTGCTTATCTTCAAGGGATGAATCCATATATTGTTGGACTTTTAGTCGCACTTCTAGCTTCAATCATCTTACTGAAACCCAACAATGTGAAGAAACGAGGGTTGCCAGTTACTGTCGGTGGAGAACCTGGATATGCAGTTCGCAACTACCGTTTCACTTCTCCAGTGGAATCTCTCTGGGAAGGTATCTCGACACTGGCTGAGCTATTTGAACAATCTTGCAAGCGCTTTGAATACAGGCCTCTGTTTGGAACTCGGAAACTTATAGCAAGGGAAACAGAAGTAAGACAAGATGGAAGATCCTTTGAGAAGCTCCATCTGGGAAACTATGAATGGGTCAATTATGGTGACGCTTTCAAAGCTGTTTGCAGTTTCGCATCTGGTTTAGTGCAAGTTGGTCACAAAAATAATGAGCGGGTCGCAATATTTTCTGATACACGGGCAGAGTGGTTTATTGCCTTACAGGTGGTTTTCCTGTCATGCATGCTCAACACTTGATTTCATAATAAAATTGTCAAATTTACTGAGTACATAATAAAATTTTAGCTGGAGCATTTATTTGCAAAAAGAAGTTGTGAAGTTGTTGTCAGTTTCCTAATATAATTGATTTCTTTTCTTAAAACAGGGTTGCTTCAGGCAGAATGTCACTGTTGTTACTATATATACTTCACTCGGAGAGGAGGCTCTTTGTCACTCTTTAAATGAGGTTTGCATTTAAATCATGGTTTTCCTCCATCTGTGTAATTGTTGGATTGAATGTGTGGTACGCAGTGAAGTTTATGTGTTTTGAGCTTGTACTTGCATTTGGAAAGTTTTCAGTTCAGTCTTGTAGAAGTATATGTGATATTTCAATCTATCATATGCTTATTTAATATATTGGTGGCTATTTCATGTAGTACTCTTCTCCTGGTATGCCTTGGTTGTGATTCATGATTTATATATTTACGAAAGGTATTTTCTCCATATTTTTTTATTTTCTTTGTCCCAAATTTATATGTTGCTGCGATGAAATTTGTAAGATCTATTGGTGAGAAGGGTTTATGTGAATGCTGATTGTTTCAGAGGTATCAGAGAGGAGTTCACTGTGAGATTTCTGGTAATAGGAGAGCTTGGTTTTCTCAGTAGTTTCCTTTTATATCTCTCTATTTTTCCCTATATATATTTTTCACTATTCTGTCTTCTTTGCAGTCAAATAGAAATAAAATGATCAAAGTGACTTTAGTACTGGAAAGCTAAATACTTTTCTATTTTAGACCATATTGTGGAAGCATGTCGAACAGTAGCTGCTCATAAGAAAAAGGAATCTACATTTTGTTAAGTGAACTTACTACAGCTCATACTAGGTTATTCTTTGGTTTAATTACTTGGGAAGACTTTACTTGTGCTCTGCATTGGAACCCATTTGGAAGCTGTGAATTGTATTTTTATATGAATTACTTGCATGGGATTGGTTGAAGAAATTATAATTTCTGTTTTTTACACATAGCTTGTTTGGATCTAAATGACTTCAGTGCCTTTATAGATAACGCTATAACTGTTAAATCACTGAGCAACCATCATAGGACATGAAATCCTGAGAGCAAGATTGCCTATCTTAGTCTATTACTTGAAAAAAAAATTATTGGAGGCAACATCACAGGTTACAACAACTTAAAAGAAAGGTGTTTCTTATAATTTTTAGTGATTCTTTAGCTTGTTAGCCCATATTTGTCTGAAAAATTACCTGCATGAGTTAAGAGTTAAGACAAACTTCAGTTTCCTGACACTGGCAGAAAAATGTTGTTTTCAATAAATTCAGGACATGTCTTCTTCCATGATGGCTAACTTTTGAGAAGGATACTTGTGAACCTTGGACTTCTTAGTTAGATGATGAACAAAACCACTGAGTGAATAAATGGAGCAAGAAAATCTTGACTAGATTATCATATTCTTTTCTTATTTCTTAGATACATGGTATATATAGCAATGTGGAGCTTATGCCTACAGGTTACTGATCTTGCATAAAGTTTATTTCTGTGTTTCAATGAACTACTTTTGTGAATATTAACTACCTTTGCATCCAAAAACACATTTCACTTGCTGATAAACCTAACAATGAACTTTCACATCATGTTAATAATTTGTTTGTCTAGATTCCATTTTTTTTGTCGTCTTCACTAGTCATTCAAACACTTGGCTTGAATCCCCTTACTAATCTGTTCTATTTGGTGATTGGCTCAGACAGAAGTCTCATCTGTAATTTGTGGGCATAAGGAACTAAAAAAACTGATTCTTGTGAGTAAACAGCTCAACACTGTAAAACGTGTTATTTATATCGATGAGGAGGGTGTTCCAAGTGAGGTTTCATTGGCCCAGAAGAATATTGGTTGGATGATAACATCATTTGTCGAAGTAGAGAGATTGGGCAGGGACAAGCCTGTGGATGCAGATCTGCCTCGCTCAGCTGATATTGCTGTGATAATGTATACAAGTGGTAGCACTGGTCTGCCAAAGGTCTGCTGCCTTCTCATATTTTACTTCAAATTGCATTTTCCTTGCAGGTCATATATAGCTTTCTAGTCACTAATTGGTACTTTTAAGGCATCGTGCTTGCATGTCTTCATTATTTCAGTTATAATTTTGGGAACCAGGGTTTCGATGGCATGAAATTTTTGCTGTCAGATCAAATGGTAGCGCTAGTCATTGTTGATAACTTTGATTGAAAATGCTATTGGATTAATCATACATTGCCTGGTATTCCACTTTTCTCGTTCATCAAGGAATTGATTTTGGTAATTATATGGTTGATCTAGCCTTTTCTTTTTCATATTGCCCATTTCAAGTTGCACGATATTTATGTATGTTTTCTACAATTTCTGTACCTATTTCTAATGTACATTCTTTCAAAGACTTCCCTTGCCACACATTGCATTCCATGTAGCTGAGGTACTTATGTGGCATTTGATGCATCCCATCTACCATAATGATATTGAGGTTTGGTACTGTACTGGTCAGGGCTCAGACCAGTACTCTTATCAGTTTGTACCAGTGTACCAACACTCAATACACTAGTATGCATCAAGTTTTGAGAAAAAAAACTTAAAAAGGTTGAAAAATGAAAAAAGAAACTGAGTTGTACAGAGCATGTGCTGTCTTGTACTGGATAGTACTGGCCCTGGTGCATGCTGCAAAATACACATACTGTCTAGACAAGATGGACTGATATGATATCTGGTATACAACCCTTGATCTTGTGTTCTTGCCCAGTCCCAGAGCATGAGGAGATTCTTCTTGAAAAGCAGGTTACATATTGGCCCTAACAAGTTGGTCATAAGTTTCTGTATATTAAGGATTCTGTTTAGTAACGATTTTTTATGAATATGTGAATAAAGTAATGTGGAATTTATGAGGGACATCATAAGTTATGAAAAAAATGCCCCTCTTTTGGTTATTTTGACATATTGATTCGACTTTATTTCCACAAAAGGAAGTGTTTATAGTTTAATATACATTCTTCCCTTGACTTCTCATGCAGGGAGTAATGATGACACATGGCAATGTTCTAGCTACGGTTTCAGCTGTTATGACTATCGTCCCTTCTATTGGGACCAAAGATATATACTTGGCATACCTACCACTTGCTCACATTTTTGAATTTGCTGCAGAGGTGAGGGGCTTCAAATCAATCTACCTATGAATTTACACAGGATGGACATCATAACTTGCTCATGGTCTAGCTTCGTTTATCTTTACTTCATCAGTGACACTTTTGTGAATATGCCTTGTGCAGAACGTACTGGTTGCTGCAGGAACTACCATAGGGTATGGCTCACCTTTGACTCTCACTGACACATCAAACAAGATAAAGAAAGGAACAAAAGGTGATTCTTCAGTCTTGAGGCCTACACTGATGACTGCTGTACCTGCTATACTTGACCGTGTTCGTGATGGTGTGTGGAAAAAGGTCTTGCCATCTCTTGGAAAGGATAACTATAAAATCTGTTTCATAAGATTCTTTGCCACAAATTTTCATATGGTATGTTTTTCAGATAGATGCTAAGGGTGGATTATCGAAGAAACTATTTAATGCTGCATATGGTCGTAGATTGGCTGCAATTAATGGAAGTTGGTTTGGAGCATGGGGTCTAGAGAAGGTTTTATGGGAGTTTCTTGTCTTTAGAAATATTCGAGCAGTTTTAGGAGGACATGTACGTTTTCTACTCTCGGGTGGAGCTCCTCTATCCGGCGATACTCAAAGATTCATCAGCATATGTCTTGGGTTAGTATAACCTTCAGGTCTTTAGTTTGATAAACCTGCAAATAACTTAAACCTGGACTTTTAGGATTCTCCTGGATGTACAGTAATAGTTGCAGGTGCTTTGCTTTGGTTGCAGGCTTCAAGCATAAATGCTATGTTTATTAAAAAAAGATGTGTGCTATCTAATACTGGCACATCATTATACAAGTAGTTCCGAACATATTCTTTTTTTTTTACCTCGAAAAAGTCATTATGTGTTTCAGATGTTCAGGCTTTCTAAATTGAGCAATTGTCACCCATCTTGGTCGCCCAAATTTCTACCTCATTATAGACTCCGAGAGGATAGTCAATATCTGTGATCCTAATTCTAGAGGCTTTACATTTGTCTACTAGTCAGTTTCGACGCCTGATTGTCACTCTTTGACATTTATTATTTTTAAGCTAGTGCTGTTGATAACCCTTGTGCTTGAATTATATGGGAAATCCATCTGCACTTTGGTTGAGAAGCATGCATTTGAAGTAAATTTTGAACTAATATTTTCTATTTGTTTATGTATTCTGTTTTTGAAAAAACTATGGTTTCCATTCTTTATATAATGCGATGGTCCAATGTTGAACTCATCTTTTCCATCTGACTTGTCTTCTTAAATTACTCATTAATAAACAAGAAAAAGGATTAAGGAGTTCAATTATGTATATTACTTTCTTTTTCTTTTATAATCCTTCTGATTATGTATTTCCTCCGTGTCTCTCCTTATTCATTTAAGAAAGGTTTAACTTGATAGTGATCAGAATGCTGGACATTTTACCAAGGTCCAATATTGTACTAATAATTTTAGGGTTGATTGTCGTATTAGATTAGATTATGCGAAGTCGACTTAAAGAGTACTTTATGAGTGTCAATTGCTAAATATATCAAAAAGAGGTGCTTAAACTGTTTTTACTAGAGATGTGTTGAACTGATCAACAGTGGGACCTCTTAGGAATGAAATTCTGTGAAGTCTTGGAGTAAATAATTGTTGAAACCAAGATTTATACCAGTGATTTAAAAAGCGCTAGGCGCCAAAAGGCGTCAAGGTCCAAAAACGCCCGCGGCGTTAGGCTCTCGCCCGAGTGAAGCGAGGCGCTAAAATATAAAAATATAATATAATTAATAAATATAATTATTTAAAAAATTAAATTAAAATATGCTATTAAATATTAACAGTGTACTGTATACTGTTAACAGAAAGAGAAGAAGGAAGTGTAAGGGAGTACTGAGCCTGCTGACTGAGAAAAGAGGAAGCGGCAGCGGAGTGTAAGGAGGCAGCGGCAGTGGCGAGCGGTGAGCAGCGGCAGCGGGAGCAGGAGCGGCGAGCAACAGGAGGCGCGAGCGGCGACAGCGACAGCGTTTGCGAGAAGTGGCAGCGGGAGTAGGAACGACGAGCAGCGGGAGGCGCAAGCGGTGATAGCGGCAGCGTTTGCGAGCAGCGACAACGGCGAGCATCGGGATGGGGATGGGGATCGGGAGCGGCAGCGGCAACGAGGGTTAGGGTTGGGTTGTCACTGATATCGGTTTTAGTTGGTTCGATTGAACCAACTAACCACCGGAGACCGAACCAGGACCAAACCGGACCTAAAATCCTGGTTCGGTCGCCTTGGTTAACCTAGGCGCTCGCCCGAAGCGCCCAGCGCCTGGGCTCGGGCGAGCGCCCAGGCGACGCCTCTTTGAAGCGCGCTGTCTGGAAGATTAGCGAGGCGCTCGGGCCTCGCCTCGCCTCGTCCGAGCGCCTGAGCACCTTTTTAAATCGCTGATTTATACATATGCATGAAAGTGTTATATAACCAACTATATATACATTTATGCAAGCTCTTATGTGCTGTACATAAGTATGAAGATGTGATCACATTTGCGGTTTATTCTTCCTCGTAGCATTAAGATCAATCCTGATAGGATTGCTGATTCAAAGTTCAAATCTGATAGGATTGATGAATTCAACGATCAAACCTGATAGGATTCGGTAAATGCAACACTACAATCAGTCTGCTATAAGATAGACACCTTATAAATTCGTTTATAAGGTCCTACTATATTGCTACGATCATGCCTTCCTTTCATCAGTAGTCAAAGAGTGCTTTTCTTGAGGGGAGAATGATTTTGCATAAGATCCCTCTTTCCTCGATATTACATACACTACATAAGTCTGGCATATCGCCTAGGTAACTCTGAAGATTGATCTTATGAAAACTTTTGATTCAGTGAACCAGTTCTTTCTCATTTATAATTGTAGCTGTTTTTGATTCCCCATGAGATTGTTAAACTGGGTATGTCAAACTTTGTCAAAGCTCCTATCACCGCAACAAAACAAGGTTTTGGTTTACTCTTTTAGTAGAAGCTTGGTGGCTTATTTTCCTTTCAATTCAAGAAGGGGCTGAGGAAAGATATCCCCTGTTTCCATACTTATTTGTAATTTCTATGGAGAGGAGTGATTTTATGTGGATTCCGCAGATGATGTGGCTAGGAAATCTAGCAGAGCGGTAAAGTCTTTTGGTGCTGATCAGAGGGAAGCCGAGTGAATATGACTGCAATCCTGTAAGTTTGAGAGAATGACAGCTATATATAATTCATGGATGTCATATAAAATATAAAGTGGTCTCCTAACTTGATCAAATAGATTATAGTTTGCTTTTTCGGGTACGAGATCCATTTTGGCAATCTGCTGGAACAATATGTACTGATCTATACACCGTAACGGTGTTTTGATGAGGAAGAAAAAGAGGATGAAGAGGAAGCGGTGGTGGAGGAACAAAGAAGGAAAAAGGAGTAAGGAAGAAGGAAGAAGAAGAAATAAGAGGAGGATAAGAAATGCTGTGGCAGTGTACCTAGGAAGAAACGACAGCAATGGCAGTGTCACAGTTGAAGCGGCAGTGGCAGCATCACAGCAGCGAAGAGGCAGCGCCGCTGCAGCATTGCAGCGGTGAGGCTGTGGCATCGTATGCGAGAAGAGGGTTCGTGTTCGCGAGCCCTAATTTACCTTTTCCCCCCTTTTTTAATGCTGAAATGGACTGGGCCCACCACTTTTCAATTTTTGTTAACTCTTTTAATCGGACTGCCCAGAACGGGGGTGGTTTGCGTATCGATCCATGCCTGGACCGGTATGTACCATCTGTACCATACCATGTCGGGTGGTACAACAATCACTGAAATAGATATCTCCTCTGTTTGCAGGTTGACTACAAGAAACAAAGCTCCGGTCTTTTTAGCATTCAAAATTACTGGTGCAATGTTGTTCGGCGCCTATTAGAGTCATAAAAGCCAAAGCTATGGAGAAAATGGGTAATTCTTTTCTTTGGAAAGTGAAAGATGATGCTGCCTATGTTGCTGAATTTGTTGGACTAAGGTTACCTATCCTAAGAAAGAATTTGTTCTAATTATTCAGACAACTGTAGATTTGAATCAAGCCAGAGGGATTTGCTTGCTCTCTCTGGCCTGTGATGGTGAATAACTTCATCTCCATCTCTGTCTTCTTCTATTTTTGTTGTTTTCCAAATAGAACCTATGATTAGTTTTGACATAGTATTAGAGTATGTATGGTTTTAAACTTTTAATAATATATGAAGCGTATATTGATCTTGACAACCATCAAAGAAGAGAGCTAATCCGTAGGAGATGATTGATGACAGAGATCACAGTCGTTGATTATCAAATTGAATACTGATTTATCATTCAAGGAGCAAAGTTGAAGGCATAGAATGGATTTCTTGTGTTTTTAGATATTTATTGGATGTGGAAAATTAAGATAAAGATCTACTTGAATTAGAAAACTTGAAAAATGTAGTTCTGAATGCCTTGGAGATGTCGCAGATTTACTAAAAGTTTGAAGCACTTCTATAAGAACAAAAGGAAGAGTTACTTCTTAATTAAGAAGAAAATAACAGAACATACTGTTCACCTATCAGGTGATAGAAAAATTATTTTCCATGGATTTTCAAAGCAATAATTATGGGAGAATCTTGGTTGCTTTTAATGAGATTTATTTCCTCCTATGCCACCAGAGGTTATTTTGAAAGCGGTAACCAGCATGATGGGTTGTAGGATAAAAAGTTAAATGAAAATGAAATTATTAACCGAATGAAAGATGGTTTAATAAGTACAACCGATTATCATATTAGTGTTTATATTGAGATTGATCTTATTGACATTTGCACAAAAGCAAGATAATCAAGGATGAATACAAATATACAGATATCTTTTTCCTCTTGATGTGAAATAGTTCACAAAGCCACATACATTATTGGTTATTAAAGATTCAGATGAAGATATCATTAATATTGATACATAGTGCACATCTATTTAACACCTATATATAATGATGTTGATAAATTGTTTGATGAAAATGTCAAGATTAATATGTGAAGAATTTTATCGATAGTTATTTTATCAGATGGATTTGATAATTTGAGATTATTTCAAGAAATTTGATGCTAATGTTTTGATGCAAATCAAGACTTTATAACTGATCGATATACATAAGATGGATTATTTGTATGGTTTGCTTACCTTGGCAATGATCTCAAAGCTTGCAATGATAGTGATGACAAGATTTTTTTTCTTTCCATACAATTTTTTAAAGCTTAATTTAGGAGAACATAATGATTGCTTAATTCAGACACAATTTTGACTTTATAATGGGAGAGGATGAGAGAGATGTGGTGATGATATATGCAAATTAGTTTAATGCTTTTATCTCTTCACTGTCTTTTCTATGCACTACTTAAGCCTTCTATCATCCAACTCATTTTCAAAGAAATATAAGAAGCGCTAAATTAACCATGCATTACTGAAGATGACACTTAAAGCCATATACCTGCTGAATGGACATTGTTGCAGCAGAACCTGGGAAATGATGTTATAGAGTTGATGCACAGAACTTTAATTGCCTATTATGTAACTTGTTAAATTTCCTTTACTATCAATATTTGTATCTTGCATTTGTGTAGATCTATAGGAGCTTCAATGCCTTAAACCTTGTAAATGACCTCAAATATTTGTCAGGGCTCCAATAGCGCAAGTATATGGTTTGACGGAAACTTGTGCTGGCGGTTCATTTTCAGAACATGATGACATATCTGTTGGCCGTGTGGGTGCTCCGCTTCCATGTTCATATGTCAAGGTGAGGACGCGTAAACATCTTGCTGTTATCCGAATGAGGACATTGCCTTCTCAATTGGCATGATAAACCACCCCTTTTTTGTTTAAAAGGCATCTATGAGATTGCTGGTTTCCTTTTTGTTTGTTATTATTTTTTGCAAGGTTCTTATGCAGGCTAGTTTAAGATTATTCTTCTATACTACTTTTACTTGTAGTCCTTTTAGCTTCTAGTTGTACGATTTCCTATTATAACTTCATGATTGGGGGAAATAGCTACAGTCCATGAAGTGATGTTAGTTCTAGTTGATTAACTGCATAATATTCTCTATATTGTATTTGTATCATTAACAATTTAAATATGCTACTACAAGGCTGCTCATGGAAAGCATATACAAATGCAACCTCCAAATTCTTTCTATTGGAAAGTTTACGTAGATATTCTTAGGTTGTTTTAGCACATATCTCAAATCTTTAGCATGATTGGATCTCCTCCCTGATTCGTCTTGCTCCAGCATTCTTTGCATATGCCATCTCTGACATTACACAATTGTCATGCTAACAAAATCTAATGTGTTTCTATCTTATGTATTGCTAGAACTAGTCTCACTTATTGATGCTATAACCTATTTTGTTTCGTCTCGGATGACTTTCTTTTTTGTCTTTATCAGATTTTTAATGTGATACTACAAAGTGAACTTTTATGCTAAACCAATTTAGAGTTTTTTTTCCATCAGATTTTGTACACCTAAGTTTGCTTTTATTGATCCAACATGGTATCTGTGGTAATTCTTTAGGTTAGTAACATTCAAATGCTGTGTAACTGCAGTCTTTGAAAAATTCATTGCTTGATCAAATGTTGAAGGTATAATGCTGATTTCATTTTTAATGTGAAATTATGGATCCTATATGTTGGTCTATGCACTACCTATGCCTTGGTGATATCAAGTAAAAAGGGTGTAACCAATGCACGCCGCTCGCTCCCGCCAATGCGGGGTCTAGGGAGGGCCAACATACATAGCATTACCTTTAAAAATTTAAAGAAGCTGATTTCGTGACTTGAACCTTGGTCTCCCATGTCATGAAAGAGCACCCTTACTATTGTACCAAGATCCAACCTTACCACCAATGCCTTGATGATGTCAAGTACCACTTTCAAATCCAGTTTTCCTATATGACTAGGTTATCTCCTATTCCAGTCTCAAAATCAAGGAGAATCGAAATGATAAATATAAGAACTTCTACTTAAAAATTCTGCTGAAATGAAAGCAAATTCATGTTTTATTAGAACACTTTTCAATGTCCATAAATTATTTATCTTCTTTCAAATTGCTGGCACTTTTAGGTTTTAAAGTTGCCAGAAAATTTGTCTCCTTGTTAGATGCAATAAATTTGATACCGAAAGCTGCAGAATTGAAGAATCTCCAATTCTTCATGATGAATTTCAGATTTCTACATTTGCTCTTTCACATTTCTTGAAGAAAAAAAAAAATTGCATTGTGTCTTTGTACCCAAATAGAATTTTGATCTTCACAGGACATTTATTGATCAATAGTCGATAACTAATTCATTTTATCTTAGTTTTGCTTCTTATTTTTATAACCTTTCTTTTGGTTACAGTTGACTTATTTACAGAAAACATATTTTGGTTTCAGTTGATTGATTGGCCAGAAGGTGGATATTTAGTTACAGATTTACCAATGCCTAGAGGGGAGATTGTCATTGGAGGTCCAAATATCACTCTTGGATACTACAAAATGGAAGGGAAAACAAAGGAAGTTTACAAGGTTGGTCACTTGCATTGTTGCTGACTTGCATGTAATGTCAAATGTTTTTTTTTTTGTGGCTAATCGGGAGCTTCTTATGTCCTACTGAAAAGGTTGATGAGAGAGGAATGCATTGGTTTTACACTGGTGATATTGGAAGGTTTCACCCTGATGGCTGCCTAGAAATCATTGATCGTAAAAAAGATATAGTGAAACTTCAGCATGGCGAATATGTCTCTCTGGGAAAGGTAGGACAATATGTCTATATGTTAATCTTTTAGTTTAAAAAACTAATGTTCTGTTTTGCAGATTGAGTCTGTCTTAGTTGCCAGTCCCTATGTGGATAGCATCATGCTGCATGCTGATCCTTACCATAGTTTCTGTGTTGCACTTGTTGTTGCTGCACAACGTGCCTTGGAAGATTGGGCTTCAAAGCAGGGAATAATCTACAGTGATTTTTCAGATTTATGCCAAAAAGCGGAAACTGTGAAAGAAGTTCATGGTTCACTGTTTAAGGTTTGCATCTCTTGTTTACCTCCATCTATGATGTTCAAGTTTGTCTTCTGCTATGTCAGGTTGGTCACCAAGTAATTCTTTTAGTATATATTTATCTTAGGAGATATTTCCTAATTGGTTGACTGCGCTTATCAAAAGTTGACTTCAATTGAATAATTATGACATCTCTGAATATTAAACAATATAGTTGTGTGCTCTAATATTACTATAAAAAAGTTCTTCATATTTATATGCATGAAAACTGTAAACTGTCTCCCTAATTCAGATTTATTTTTTGATCTATGGTTCTTATAAATGTATGTTGATAACACACATCTTCAAAGAACAAACCTCCATTGGATCATCGATCTTATGTACCTCTAGCTCATAATTTTTCTGATGCCCTTGAATGCCAGCGAGACAACTTAGGTAAATTATGTGTTCCTAGCCATGTTCAGTACTAGCAGGCCGATAGCCATGTGTTATTCGAGTACAATTATTAGTTCTTTTGTTTTATTTGAATACAGGCGGCAAAACAAGCACTTTTGGATAAGTTTGAGATCCCAGCTAAGATCAAGTTGATTCCTGAACCATGGACACCAGAATCTGGACTGGTCACTGCTGCACTCAAGATCAAGAGAGAAGCCATTAAAAAGGCATATGCTGATGACCTTGCAAAGTTATATGCATGAATCTGCGGTATCTTAAGAGGAAATGCACAGAGCTGCAAGTCAAGGCAAATTTACTCCTTTTTGCCTGGCATATCAGATGCTTAAATAAAATGCACTTGGCAGGGTATGTGGTTAAGGCAAATATTAGTAAAGATAAATGAATTCTAATGTATTTTAAGAAATGTGTTTGAATTTGGGGAGCAGAAATGTGTCTAATCTGGAGGCAGAACTTAATGCAGAGTTGTCAGCTGGATATTTTAATATATTTTGTGATTATTATATGAATATAAATGTGTCATGGACTGAATTTAGTGATAGATTTTAATTGCTAGATATTTGATTTTGAGTCAGAGAAATTAGACAAGGGAGCAGATGTCAGCTACTCTTATTTGTCCTTTTTTTTTTTTTTTTGGTACTCATCTTCTGATTCATCGTTCAATCTTTCGGTATATCAATTATGTTTGATCCTCTGAACTTTCGACGTAAAGGATGATCTCTAACATATCCTTCGTTTCAACGTTTAATTTTTAACACTATAAGCTTTCAAACATGCCATATTTTAAATGTCTAATTATTTCAAAATATTAAAAAATATCTCATTATTTTTTAAAATCTATTTATTAAAAAGAGGCCTCAGCATTTCTCGCAAGAGGAGAAACAAATACAATAAATATCACTCTCGAGTTAACAAAAATTTAAACCTTATTCCTTTACAACCTCTTAAAGTAATTTTTTTTTTATATTTATCTCTCTTTCTCGTGAAGACCGATAGGAATTATAGTGTTGCTATAAATATTCGGTATACATATTATATAATATTTGATACGAAAGAAATATTGCTGTAAAGAAATACTTTAAGCCAAGATAAAGAACGTAAACCTTTGCTTTCAGGTATATGGTCCCCAGCCTACCCTTCTTCCCTGCTCAACCTAACTCTTAATCCGACGGGTCATGTAAGGTTAATTACATATTACCGGTTAGATCTCTTTAGTATTTCACTATCTTAATTTAAAAAAATTACATTTGAATCTCTATAAATATAAAAAAATTACATTGGAATCTCTATAAAAATTACATTGAAACATTTAGTTATGTTTATTTTAACTTTATTGGTTTTACCAATAAAAACATGAAAAAAAGGATAAAAAGATACTTTTAACGTCCCAATTATATTTTTGGTGGTGGCATACAACGATACCATTGAGAGCTACGGATAATTGTTGTGGATGAGGAGAGAGAGAGTGATAACGAGAGGTAAAATAAAAGAAGAGGAGGAAGAGAACGACGCAGATGCCAACTCTCTCCATTTACGTTGGCATCGCTCAACAACTATGTCAATGCCGATGTAGATGCAAAATAGCATTGTCCTTCCTTACATCGTTGTCGATGTCGACACAAACGTAGAGCGACGTTGCTTTGCATCTACATCTACGTCGGCGCCGATGCAAATACCAAATGACGCTCTACATCTGCATCAGCGTCAACGCAATTACCGAGTGGCACTAACGCAAATGCAAAGCATTGACATCTATGTCAGCATCTTCCTCCTCTCATTTTATCTCATCTCTTATCGATGATTTCTTTCTTCGTCCATAACAATCACCTACGGCTCCATCTCTTATCGATGATATTGTCAAGTATCTTTTTCTCTATTATTGTTACGCTTCCATCGGTAAAATCACGATTGAATAAAGCATTAGAATCTCACCTCCCTTGTGCCACACAAATCCAACATCATCTACCGGCCTGTTTTCTCTTCTTCCCTATTCAATGCCCTTTACTCGTTGTAAGCAGCGCAGTTTGTCCTTTGTTTCTCGCGGTTGGATCCCTCTTTAAAGAATGGACCAACCGGAGCGCCACCACAGCCAGCCACACACACTGACCATATGGACAATGGTGTGCTTCACCTCTTCCTTCCTCGTTCTTGTGATTCTACTCCTTTCGTCCTTTGCGGCCAACGGTGGTTCTGAGACCACAAGAGCTCATGGTGAACTAAAGCAGAAGCCGTGCCACCTACACTTCTACTTCCACGACATCCTCGACGGTCGTAACGCCACCGCCGTTCGCGTCACCAATCCACCGATGGTCACCGTGATAGATGACTTGCTCACGGAAGGCCCCGAGCTGACGTCAACGCCCGTCGGCCGGGCGCAGGGGTTCTACGCGTCGGCGTGCCTGCAGGAGGTGGCCTTTCTCCGAGCCATGAACTTGGTGTTCGGTCGGGGGAACTACAACGGCAGCATGCTCACCGCTTCATGAGGTGAAAAGGAGATGGCGGTGGTCGAAGGGACCGGACTTTTCCTTTTCGCCCGCGACTACGACTTGGCGAAGACCCATCGGCTCGATGCCAACGCCGGCGACGCCATCGTCGAGTATGACGTCTATTTTATGCACCACTGAGCAGATCTTACGTTTTCGTCTGTCTCAATCAATGAAATCTTCTACTGTGGTCGTGCTTAAGAACATAAAATCCGAGAGAGAATCTTAGTATTACTATATCAAAGAAAATAAAAAAAATTTATTACAAGAGAGTTAATCTCATATTACTAAATAAAATATAAAAAAAACTTTATTATCATTAGGTGAAACTATTTCTTTTATCAAATTTTTCCATGTGAACATAACAATCAAAATAATCCTTTTGATTCTGATATCATTTGTGCAAGTGAAGGCTTTACTAGCAAAAGAACAATCCTAATAATCAACAATAAAAACACAAACCCAAAATAATGGAATATAAAATTTACGTAAAACACTCAAATTCTTTATTATATACAATAAAAAAATACAAGAAATAGATCTCTTATATATCATCTCAACTCAGTTCAAAACTTCTTGTACACGTTCTTACATAAACTTTCATCTCAAACTTTCTAAATCTACTGGCAAAAATATTAAGCCACTGAGAGTGTTTTTTCTCTATACCTTCCATCATTAAAACTTTAAGATACATAAGATAATTCTGGAAGGTTCTTTTTCTTACTTGGAGTTACTTACCAGTGAAGTAACCTTGTTATCCAAGTGATTTGGTTTCTATTAGGAATCCAAAAATACTTGGAACATGTATCACTGGTAGAAAAGCTTGTTCAGCTTCAAACAACAGTCAGGCAAAAAATCTCTGAAGCAAAACATTAACGCTAAATTGGTAACAAAGGTCAGAACTGTTCCACTCAGCAAGGCCCAACTCACAGTAGCCAAGTTACCACTGATTCATTCTATTTCTTGATCACCTGTGATCTTTTTCCTGGAAACAGCAGAAACTGAATTCAGCTGATGAATTTTCTCCCTATGTGAGCTCTAGCAGTGGAGCCATATTTTATGATGTTGATGCCATCTTCTTCAAGGCCATTGCTATTGATTTGCTGTCAACATAGATTCTGGAACAGACTTTGGCAGGAATCTGGAACCCTTGATCTCCAATAACTGTTGCATGAACTGGAATAAAACCTTCATACGTTTCTAGTAGAGAATATACCTGCAGTGGGCATAGTATATTTTTGTATTCTTAATTTTGTCTTATAAACCAAAATAATTGTTATCTGATGATTGTCTAAGTATCATCTAATTAATGAAAAAATATCTTCACTGACCCTGTATAAACACATGCACTTTTAACTAGAATAGCAAAAAATTGCTGCCTTGGTGAACCGATACCTTTTGGACATATTTTCAGCATAAACTATGTCAACATAATATCAAATTCTTCCAAAATTGTATTTGATTTTGGTTGATCTTCAATTTGATTCCCTACGACACATTTAGGATGTGTTTAGAACAGAACTTTTGAAAAGTAGGTTCATATTAACATTAGTTGCACTCCTTTTATACCTACAGCATTACTGATCACTAAATATTTATGAAAACATCGTACACAAATTACCCAAAGGTTTGTATAAATATTCTTAAATATTTAACATTTTAAACCTTATTTCTTATGTTTTTAACATATTTAACTTACAAACTGGATTGACTTATGTGTTCCAGTGTTATGACAATTGGCACAGTGTTGCCTAGCTAGATGAAGACAGCAACCTAGATAAAAATTCAACTGCTACTCTGCAAGCCCTGTTACCTAATTGTCTTTGGCTCCTGCAGAAGAAGCTGAACAAAAGCCACTTTCGCAACCACCATCCACAATCCAATGGGGAAACTAACCATTCTAACACTGACAATGATCTCGCCGACACTCTCTACTTCCTAAATTGTGATGGCTCATTCAAGGCTAATTGTTCCTCTGATGGAATTGGCTTCATTCTCACAGATACACAGGGAAACACTTTAATCGCTGGATGTTCCAACCGCAAAGCAAGTAACCTGTTTCTTGGCTCAGACCGGATTCTCAGAACCTCATCATGTTGTCCAATCCCTCCCATCTCCCTTGGCACCTGAGAAACTTGTGTCAAGACATCTTTCGCCATGTGAAGGTTGTTGCTTTCACTGGATAGAGTCCTGTAGCTAAAAATTCTAACTGCACAGCCCATAAATTAGCTAATTTTGTTAGGAAGAATGTAGCAGATATTTTTTGAAAAGGTAATTCACCACCTGATGTTTGTATGAATTGCTTTTATCTATTAGTTTATTGAATTCTTAGGTCCAAACTTTTGATATTTGGCTCACGCTCAATTAAAAAAATTGTATGCCTGTTGAACTTAAAGCAATAGTGATCACTAGAATGCATATGAATGCATCTTATACACATTATATTTATGAATATTTTTAAACTTTTATCAGTGGTGCCTTATTTCCTACCATTCTTAGTGCTAGTCCAGAATGAATTGTGTCAAAGTTGTGTCTAATTGTTTCAAATTACATCAGAATTATGTTTCATCCTTGTTGACAATCGATTTAATCATCTACAACTCAGTTATGATAGCTTAAGCCGTAACCTTTTAAGTCTGCTCATATTTGTATGAATTACATTACTTTTTAACAAGGTTTAAAATAATCGATATTTACCAGTCTCACAACCAATCAAAACATAAACCAAACCATTTTTGAACAATTTCACCAAATATGAGTTGCGCCACCTGGTAGTGGTGCTCAAATTTATATATTTTTTTTCCTTCAGAAAATTATAGATATGTGCAGTTATCTCTTCTCTTGTCTATTTCTCTCTCTCTCAGCCACCTCACATCTGTCCGACTCTCTTTCTTTTTCTTTCTCTCTCCACCTTCTCCAGGTATCACCACCTCCACCCCCTCTCCATTGTATCATTGTTGACATCTTCTACTCCTTTGCCTGCTCTTCTTCCTCCCCTACCTCCACTTGATACATGGGACACCTAGCTGTACCAATCCTCCCAAGAACCCACATTGGGTACTAGATCAAGATTTAAAACCTTGTTTTTCAATTGATTTTTTTGTATTGAAAAAATTATAGCAAAAGCAACATAAGGGGTCAACCAGTTAAAAACTGAGATGACCAACTGAAAAAGTGAAAAAAAGAAAAAATTAGTTGATGATTTTTAAAATGCAAAATAAGCATTTAGTCTAGAGGAAGGTCCTGTGACAAGAAAGTAAAAATAAATTTAGATGCTCTATGGTAAAAGTTAAAACTAGGGATGTTCTCTACAGCATAACCAAATTTATTGAGTCAAATAACAAGGGCACGCCCATCAAAATTAGTTAAAAGGTAACTATATAATCTGTTACACGGAAAGGACAATAATCGTCTGCATGATCAATAAATATTCATCACAGAGAATAACTTGAATTTAGTTAAACAATTATACAAAGCAATAGATCATACCTGAGACATGTCAATGAGCATTCCTCCTCTAAATGCAGACTTCAATGTAAACCAGCCAACTGCAACTTAATGTCAACAATAATATAAAGCGAGAAACTTCAAACATCAAACTCTTTGAAGCCCCACCATATTTTTATTAACTAAACTCTTCAAAAGCCAGTATCCTTGCTGGGTCATCATGTTAATCTGGAGATATATATTTCTTGTATGAGATTTGTAAGGATAAAATTCTTCTTCTGCAAATAGAATAACCAAATTGAATCAAATACATAAGCTAGATGAAGTCATGATGTTCTGATCAAGATATATTGAAAAACAAAGGATCAGTATCTAAATGTATAGCTCTAAACAGAGTTTATAAGGCTTATTTTAGGATCAGAATAGCAGAGCAAATTAGTGTACTCAGCAATCTATAACTCTCTGACATACCTATGAATTCGATCTGCATCATAAGCACCAAAAGTCAGAATACAAGCACTACGGCCCTTATTCGGCTGAACAAAACCTGCAAATCGCAACTCAAATGTTTCAGTAGTTACAAACTTTGATAAAGGAAATTCTGACAACTGATGTGGCATGAGATAAATTCTTTCTAACTGGAAATCAATATGGAAACTGCAGTAATTGTTTATTCTGATAAAAACTTGAATTAGTATAAATAGATTCAAAAGAAAGATTGAATCTTTCTTTACAGCACCTGATCAAAAGAAAGGAGATACCAAAACCATCCTTGGTTTCTTTCTTTACATCACAAATTCAACAATGCCACACAAGAGATGGTTATAAGTAGTATAAATAGATTGGTAATGAAAGAGGGTTATGTTGCCTCCAACTCCAAGTGACTGTATAGGATGAAAGTACTAACAGAACAGACTCAAGAATATTCCACACTGTAGTCCTTTGACTGAATCATATTTGTCAAATATTGCAGTCTTGACCAATATTGGTAGGAGTCCAAGTGAGTAGGATCCTCAATGGCACTGAAAGATGACCAATGATCACATGGGCCTAAACACACTCCAATCCTCGATGCATCTTAAATACTTCAGAAAGTCTTCATCCATGTCAAATGTTGGTATGACATGCCCTACTAATTATCCAGTCAACTACGAGATTTGGCCAATCACAAATGATCTCAATGCATATTACTTGGCAAAAGCAATCCAAAAATTACACTATCTGGTTAAATTCAAAGCTTCCTGCATCAGACTCGGGTAAAAATATATCCACAGTTAAGAATATTAAGCATAAAGTCCAAAGTGCAGAACAGGAAAAAAAAACTTAAGCAAATTGAGGTCCTTCTAATTGTGTTTGTAAAATTTGGTATACACTAACTAACAATTGATCTGACTGGCTTTCAATAAATTTGCAACCCTCAACAGTTTCTGCTGCCTTAGATGTAATTATGCTAAAAATATGGCACAGGGAGCTGAAACGTTTGACTCTGGTTGACTTGAGTTCATTGTCAGTTGCAAGCCCATGCATGTCTCTCAAGGAGATGACCTTGGCATCCTTCCTCCACCTCTTCAAGAAATATCTTAGTGGAAGCTCTTTGATATTTGTAACATCAAGTGCTTTTAGGACATGCCGACATTGGATTCCCACAAACTCAAACTTTTTGCAGCTGCAAACCAGAGTACCATCAAGAGGGTTTAGTCTTACCAAGTGCACTTTCAGGCTCCCCTCGGATGTAACCTTATATTCATAGGTTGTCTCTACCATGCCAGCATTGTATACCATGCAGTCGAGTGACAACTCAAACTCCTTTTGGAAAATGTCAAAGACAGCTGGTGTGTATATATTTGCGGCTTGCCTCAACATTCGTGAAGAAGCTACTAATGAGTTACTTTCAGTGGCATGATGATCAGCCAGTAATTCTTCATATCTCCGTCCATACAACACTCTTTCATAATTCCCAAGGAATTGTAAGAGATCATTTTCCTGTCTCAAGTGCTCCTTTAGCATGCTGCTCAAGCTTTCTGTACGTTGAGTGCTACTCATGTCTGCACAGAACATTCCTCGCCCACATGCCACCGACCAATTGTCCCTCTCTTCAAACAATTTCTTCAACCATATATTTTCTTTGAGATCATACTTCTCTAACATCTTTATCCATTCTGAGGCAAACTCTTCATCATCCTCACAGTCATAGAGACATTTACGGAAGTCAGATGCAAAAGTCCTGGAACCTTGAAAGACCTGAGCCAAGTATTTTGTTGCATTTTGGTACATATGCCACGCACATCCTCGATGTTTTGTACCATGCCAAACGAGATCAAGAGCATTGGTAATTGCCATATTTTGATCTGTTAGGACTACATTTGGTTCCTTTCCATTCATTGCACTTTTGAAAGTCTCAAACAACCACTTGAAACACTCTTCAGTATCATCATACATCAATGCTGTACCAAAAACAACAATTTGCTTATGATGATTTACACCATAGAATAGAGCTAAGGGCCTGCCATAATTATTTATTTTATATGATGTATCAAAGCAGACCACGTCACCAAAGTAGCCATAGTCAACAGCAGACCTCCCGTCCCTCCAGAAAAAGCATGTTACTTGATCTTCACTGTCAAGATGTATTGCATAATAAAATGCAGGGTCATCGACTTGTCTCCCTTGCAAGTACTGCAACATAGCACCTACATCTCCTGGCTTCGGGGTATCCTTACGCTTGGCATGCAAATAATTCTTACAGTGGGAAGGAAGAAGATCGCCCTGTTGATTGGCAACAGTCAGTTCACTCAAATTCTCATCTTTAGCTATGGGTTCCACCCTAGAGTCATCCTCATAGTCCACTACATGAAATCGAGCCCTGTTAGCAGTTCTGTGTGATTTTAATGTGTGAGCTGTTCGTGCTGTCACAAACTCATGGTTGTGGTCCCAGTAAAATTCACTCACACGATATCTACCGTTCTTAGCAAGTTTAATGGTCATACGAGCATGACAACCTGTTCTCTCACTTGATCGCAGTCGATGTTGTTGTACCTGGCTCTCATTTTTCTTGTTTCCATGAAAGCCTTCCTTATAACATACATATGTCCTGGAAATAATCACCCCTGAAGCTTTTCGGTTAATCCAAGCCTTTCTTACGTCGAAACCAATCCTTCTCGCATATTCATTATAAAACTGATAAGCCTTCTCGTCATTTTCAAACTCCATATCGACTTTCGGTGCCCAACTCTTGTTGGCAGCATCCTCCACAGAGAAGAACCTGACCTGCCGATATCCCCCAGCTTGCCTTACCAAATACTCGATCTTCGCCTTCTGTGATGCCATCATTCCGGCAACAGCAGCTCGAGACCGTTTTGCAACTCTATGTGACTTCAACGCGTGAGCTTTCCCTGGTGCTACAAGCTCATGGTTGTGCATTGGGTGAAATTCACTAATCCGATATGTCCCATTTTCTGTAATTTTGATTGTCAAATGTGCAAGGCAGCCAGTCCGCTCATTCTGCCGGGGTTTCTTCACCTCACTCTCATCTCTCCTGTTCCCCTGATAACCTTCTTTATGGCAGACATAAGTCCTCGATATGACAACTCCCGATGCCCGCCGGTTAATCCAAGCTTTCCGGACACTGAACCCTACTACCTTAGCATAATTGTTATAAAATTGGTAAGCCTCCTCATCGGTCTTAAATTCCATATCCACTTTCGGCATCCAATTCGCATCATCAGCGTTCCCCACAAAAGTATCACTCCCCGCTAACTCCGCCATTCTCCTCCCTGGAATCAAAATCTTCTCTTTTAGCAGAAAGATCTTTTCATTTTCTTCGAAACACAAATCCAAATTAAGCACGAAACACCGCAAAACTTAATAAGCTGAGAGTGGAGGGTAACAAGCTGAAATCAATGGAAGATGAAAAAACCATAAAAATCGCATCTTTCGCGTCGGAAGAGCAAAGACGGATGAAAAAGAGAGAAGAACAAGCCAGAGAAACACCAGGTTTCGAAGACAGGGAGCATATCACGATTCCAGTCCCAAATTAGAGGAGAATAGGGCGAAAAAGAGAATTTTGGAAAAGGGAAAAAAGGAGAGGAAACTGAGAAAACAAAAAAGAGGATATAAGAGGACTCACTTGGAGCTTCGATTAGCGCCCAATTCGTTCTATTCGAACCGCTTCTGGTCGACCCCTTCGCGAACCTTTTGAGATAGCTCGAATGGTGAGGGGGGAGGGAGAGGGACGAGGAACCCTATACAAGTGGCGTTGGAAGAGATCGCCTTCCAATTCTGGCCGTGAGGTATGCCCGATGGAATAAAGCGAGTTGGGAAAGTGGTTTGGGGTCCGCCGAGGCCGAGTCACAGGTGTCGGCGTCTGGTTCGAAGTGGAAGACGACTTTGTCCAAGACGAGCGGCTTAAGAGAGAGAGTGGCCAAGGGTAAGAACATGAAAAGAGAATCAAAATGGCAAACCGAAGCGGGAATCCAAAGAATGATATATTCCTAATTTAATGCATACATTTCAGAACATATTTGTTCGAATGATATCCTCATTTGATTAATCCAAGAAAACAATAATTTAGTTTTGGATTTTTTTTGAAATATTTCAGAAAGAAATTAGTGAATCATGATGATCCCTATTTGTTAACTATATATAAAAAAAAACCTTTGCTCTCCCAAGGTGATAGGATCTATGCAATTTTAAAAAATTAGGTTTTGTTTTTTGTGTTTTGTTTTTGCTAGTTTTATGCTATGAACAACACTTTGGAGGTTCCTACTTCCTTGTTCATAATTTTGGAATTATCCAAAAGAGAATCCTAAGCAAACAAATCAGAATTATATAAATAATCTATCTATTCATAAAAATAAATTTGGGTATACTGACCCTTTATAAATGTACATTGATGGGAGTCTCATCCACTAAGTTCCCCTGTCTTATTTTAAGATCCAAGAAGTATTTGTATATGCACCAAAAACAAAATTGCTTATAGAAAATTATCTATAATTAAAAAGGTTTAGGTCTAAAAGATTATTATATTTCTAAAAGTGAATGCAACATTCTAATCATGCTTGACTATCTTGATAGCTACTATCCTTGTCTGCCAAATGCAACCATTATTGCTCCATTCAATAATTCAGTTCAAAAATCAAAATAATTTCTTAGATTAAAAAAAACTATTTGACAGGTCTAACATCAAATATAGAATTATATAAGCAGCTTAACAAAAAAAACATTTAGGTTACTCGAGCTTATATACTTGCTCCCAATCTTTTCTTTTCCTTGTTTGATGCCAAAACTTTCAAGGCAAATGAAATTCTTGGAAATTTTATACAGGTGGTAAAGTGATAACATCTCTTATCCAAATTGTTAGTGATATTTTTGCCATATGTTACAAATAGAGAAGCAATGTAAACAATATAAGTTGGATATATCCTTATATTAGGTATTCTATATGCTATAAGTCATGCATCATTATACATGAAAATGCTGTGGCTAAACACTAAAAGTGTTATAAATAGATGGTTTCAAGAGACTAATTTCATCATATTAAAGCATCATGATATATACACTAAAGATGTTAGCCAAAAGATACACAATGGAAATAGAGCAATACTTCAAACTTCCATAACTTAAATTTGAAGTCACTTGAATTGAAGGTTTGGCTACACCTATTCTTTGAATGAGTTTTCTATCCTAGTCATAACAAAATGACATAATTCATGGGTATTTATAGGATCATTTATCATCATTAGGCTAGAGACTCTTTCTATATATGAAACTTCTAGTGAGCTTCTATTGACCTAATGAGTTCTTCTTCATCAAGAAAACTTCTAGTTTACTCAGCCTCATTTATAAATCTTAGTTACTCTGGTTTGTATGATATTCCTTACCTCATTATTTTACAGCTATATTATTTTTTAATATGATGACGCATTAAGATTATTTCTTTACAATCTAGACAATCTCATAGTTGTATCTAAATCTAGAATCCTAAACATTATTCCACTCTAAATTAAATCATGATGTAGTTTGATCATTAGCTTCTCACTCCACCGTTGCAATTAAAATAGAAGGAAGAAGAAACTGGAACTAGAAAATCTGGGCCAGGCTGCAATTAAAATTCATTAGTTTAAACATATTGGTAAATGCAATGAATCTTGGTCAATGAAAATGTTAGAAAATCTAACAAATACTAAGCATTCAACAATATACACAAGAACATGAAGGCAAAAAAGACAACAAATGGAGCCAATAATTGAAGGTAAAAAACATCTAATGGAAGATGTAGCGGTAGGGACAGAGCACCAAATCCTAATGAGGAAAAGCTCATAACTCTGAGCAAACTATTGGAAGAAAATATCTCATACACCATCAATAAAACCTGCAGATTATTTCCACTTATTCCACATCCAGTTATTATTAACACTGCACTATTTAGCTGATCAACTTTGGAAAGTGTCATTTTCCTAGTAGTTTCTGAGCATGCTTCTCCCTCCAACAAAAGAACAATGTTTTAAAATGCATTGGGCACTCTATCCATCTATTAAAATACTTCCAAATCACCTCTATTAGCTAGGCCTGCACTCTCTCTTGGGGTCCTACAAATGATTTATTCATCAACTAGATCCAGCTGGTTATTCATCCCATAACCAATCTGCCATGGTAGAATCTATAGCAGAAAGATAAGTTGTCAAACTCAGTTGTATATCTACATCATCAAGAAACTAAGTTTTTCCTCGGTATGCTTCAGAATGTCCAGGTCCTTCATTTGTCAACTGTATCAAGGTTCTCAAACTTCTGCATGGTTAACACTTGTTAGATCTGGAGTTTGGGCCATACGAGAAATAACTATAAGGTGGACAAATTTAAAGATGAAAGATGACAATTATCTGCGATAGGGTGGGAGTGAATATTTGGGACTCCAACCTTCAATGTTCTCTATCCATTCCTTCACATAATATTGATGGTATTATTGTCGCCAACTACAGATGCTCTGAGTCACCCTAAGTACCTCATCGCAAGAGATATTTCTTCCATAAACACATCATAAGTTAAAGAGCTTAACAAAATACCTAAAGTAGCTATCATTAAGACAAAAAACCTTACCAGATCAAAAATGGCATGGAAAAATGATGAGATATTTTGCAATACAGGATGAAACTTTGCAGATGGATTCATGTGAAAGAATGAGATCCAAATTCTTCTCAGTCAGAGGATTACCATGATGTGATATGTAATTAATCTCCTCTTCTAATGCCAGTTGCACTTTTTAGCTGTTCACTAAGGATTTGGATGCAGCTGTGTGACTGCAAAAAAAAGACTAAATATCCAATGAATTCTGATTCTCAAATATTTATGGAAACAGAAAAATATAAGCTTACTTAAGATGTGTACTATGAACTATAATCGATGATATAAACTTAGAGATCTTGCAGACTCTGAAATTATGCTCTTTTTGTATACCAAGGTTGAATATCTTGGCTTTTTCATTATAATAATGCAACAATTAGCATTAGCAATAGATTACCATAAGTGGCAATGTTTTGTTTTTCCTTGTTTAGCAAAAAGAAATACAATTATAAATTCTTTCATATAACAACAACAACAAAGTCATAAGTCAACAACAACAAATACTAAATTCTTTCATGAAAAGGGTAAAATAGAGCATTGAACTTCATAAGCATTTCAGATAAAATAGGATACTTCAAACCATGGTCTGTAGTACCGAACTGTACCGCCCGGTACGGGCGGTACGTACTGGTCCGACAGGTTGCCGGTACGCGGACCGCCTGTTACCGGTCCGAGTGCACTGTAGCACTGTAGCAGAGCTACAGTACTCGACACACCTGAGTATACCGCTCGGTACACTTGGGTGTACCGCTTGGTATACCGTACCGTACCGGTACCGAGCCCAGGTCGAAATATCGGTACGGTACGGTATTGCGAATCTTGCTTCAAACAACTATTTTATCATGTTGAATGAAAAATTTAGAGTGCCAAATACTAAATTCTTTCATGACAAGGGTGAAATAGAGCATTGAACTTCATAAGCATTTCAGATAAATAGGATATTACAAACAACTATTTTATCATCTTGAATGAAAAGTTCAGAGTGCAGATCTAATAAATTTCTTGAAATTAATACCAAATGCATTTTAGCAGCTGTCTAGTAAGGTGGAAATTCTATTCTTCAGAAATAATGAAAACTTACTCTTTAGGTTAGGCAAATGGTAGATAGAAATGTTTGGATTTGAAATCCTTCATATCAAATTATGTATTAGCCATCACCATATGGGTTGCAAAGAAGAATAATCACCAGCAAAATCAATCATCTAATTTGCAAGAATGTGCAGAAGTTTGGTGAAGGTTATGAAAGAAATTAAAGAGCAGATTTTTACTTTGGAAGCACTTGATTTATCATGTACAATTAATTTCTTATTAGTTTTAGGAAAAGATTTTAAATAAAGTGAATGGGCACATAAAATATGCAAATGAAACAACAAAGGGAAAACAAGTACTCCAAAGAACAAATAGAATAACTAGGAATAATAGATCAAAATCAACATTGTAGAGATATTAAAAAAAGACCTTAGAGATTGCTCATAGAACTTTTTCAAGGCATTAGACACTAGAAGTCTTTTCTTTACTACAGAAACCTCCTCAAACTCTGATGATGATGAATGAGAAGTTACATCAGTCTCTGCAAGAAGATTCTCTTACATTGTCCCAGTAAACTGTAAAATATACTATTATGATTATCAGATAATAGAATGAGCGATAGATTGAATCCATCACTTGATCAACATATCCAATTATAAATTCATCTATTAATCAAACTTTGCAACAGAAAAGTTTAAAATTTAGCGAGCAAGGTGAAAGATATGGATATATCAATGACCTTGAAGCTCCATGATCTTTGTTGAAATTACGACATAGGTCAAGTTCAAACATCTTTAAATTTTATCAGTTCTATAAGTTAAAGAAACAACATAAGAGAATATAGTTTGAGTCTTGCGTTTTTTCAGGAAAAGCAAAAGTATGTTTTTGATGTTTTGGAAGATGTCAATTGGAGAGAAGGAGGTGAGAAGATGAAACAGTGCAGAGGTATCAAGCAAGCTTGTCCTAGAAAATAAGTTAGAGGAAGCCTTACTCTCATCACTGAGATTGGAGGTTGAAATGACACATAGGAATGAATCTATTTGCTTGTAAAGTGAGGATATTACAACATTAAAAAAGATGAGTCTGAAAAAAAAAAATGTAGCAAAGATATCAAGAGAAGGGCATAATGATAGCCACGGAGCACATGACAATACAGTGCTCTACAAACCTGATCTCTCTGTATAGTCTACACTCTACAATATATTCCTTGAAATTCTGCTGGTTTCCACCACTGTCCATGTCATTTGTTATAGATCATCAATGTCTGTAACTATGAATATACAGAGACTTCAAAACTCATGCTCTGACCAAATACTCGCGACAAACCTGCACTACCTTCTCAGAAGTTCTGGAGGTGTTAGACAAGCTGTGTTGCCGCACTGCTTCTGGTGCTGGAGCTTGTGGTGACTGACAAGGGAAACAAAAAATACATCTTTTCCCAAGGTTTCTTGGCGACTCTAAGTGCTAGACTTATTTGTATGTTTTTCATCAAAAGATTCAAGAAAATGAGAAATTTGTGTCCTCAGATGCACCAAGGTCAATAGTCATAAGTCTATCCATTTGGATTTTTAGAATTTTCAAAATTTGATAAATCTCTTTCCTTAGTGGGTGTCTTTTATCTTTTACCATAAATACATGAACCTTACTTTCTATCTCTATCCAACTGTAACCAGGTTGCTTAATCACACATCTCATCCTCATTAATCTCCTAATCCTTAAAACATCAGCCCATCTTCCCATCTCAGCATACATGTTTGATAGAAGAACATATGGTCCTGAATTCCCAGAATCAAGCTCAAATAGCCTCTGTGCCGCCCATTCGCCAATCTCCACATCACGGTGCAGCTTGCATGCAGCAAGCAAAGAACCCCAGAGCACAGCATCAGGTTCTATTGGCATCTCATGTATAAATTTCTCCACCTCTTTGAGATAGCCTGCTCGACCAAGCAGATCAACCATGCATGTGCAGTGATCTTGAGATGGAACTAGTCCATATTCCTTGGTCATGGACCAGAAATATCGGCAACCCTCTTCCACCAACCCTGCATGGCTGCAACCAGACAGCACACCTATCATCGTTACATGATCTGGAGTCTCCCCAGATAATAGCATTCTCCTAAAGAGCCGCAGGGCATCCTTTCCAAGCCCATTTTGCGCATACCCCACGATCATGGCGTTCCAAGACACCTTGTCCCTTGCAATCATCTTATCGAATGCCTTGGATCCATCATCAATTGATCCAGACTTAAGATACATATCTACAAGTGAATTTCCAACAAAGATATCAGACACAGCTCCTGCCTCGAACCGGAATCCATGCTTCAAAACATGTGCATGTGCTTGCTTCCCAAGCTGAAGATTGGCCAGATTGGCACATGCATTGAGGATGTTCCCAAATGTGTAATGAGTAGGCCAAACAGATTCTCTTTTTAGCCAGAGGAACAGTTTAAGTGCCTCTTCATCTTCCCCATTCTGTGTGTTCCCTGCAATGAGTGCATTCCAAGCTACAATGTTTCTTTCTGTCATCCCAAGAAACACTACTTCTGCATCATGCACGCTTGATGACTTTGCATAACCACTAATCATAGACGTCTCTGAGACTACACTCCTGACTGGAATTCGATCAAAGATGCTCCTTGCTTCACGGATTCTTCTGCACTTTGCATACATATCCACCAAAGCATTGTTCAAAACCAAATCTTCTCTGTATTTATCATGCTTAATGGCTTGAGCATGGACTTGCATGCCTTCTTTGACAGCTGACAGACTTGCACAGGCACTGACCACACTGGCAAGTGTCATTTCATCATGCTCCACACCACCTTCCATCATTCTCACAAATAGCGCCAACGCCTCGTTCTCAGGACCATTCTGCTCAAAACACGCGATTAAGCTGTTCCAGGAGACCACATTCCTTTTCTTCATCCCCTCAAAGACTCTACAAGCATCCAACGGCCTCCTGCACTTTGAGTACATATCTACAAGCGCACTACCCATGTAGACATCACTAGCAAGTTGGGATTTTGAGATCAAAGCATGAATTTGCACGCCCATTCTTGAGTCCATTAGTCCGGCACATGCACTCAGAGCACTCGAAAATGAATAAGCGTTGAGCACAAAATCATTGGCATGCATCGCAACAAAAAACTCCAGGGCTTCTTCGAACCGGCCGTGCTGCGCGAAGCCGGAGACCATAGTGTTCCAAGAGCACTGATCCGGCTCGGGCACGGACACAAACAAACGCCTTGCTTCCTCGAGGAGTCCCGACTTCGTCAACGCACCAATGAAGCTGTTCCAGGTGAACACGTTTCGGTGGTCCATTCTGTCAAACAGCTTCCGTGCGTCCTCCAAGCTGCCGCATTTAGCATAAGCATCAAGGAGGCGGTTCTGGATGAAGGTCTCAGAGGAGAACGGCGTCTTGAGGAGGCGGCCGTGGATGCATCGGCCGTCTCGGAGGGAATTGGAGTCGATGCAGTCCTGGAGGAGAAGGGTGAAAGGGATTGAATGGGGGAGGGAGAGGCCGCAGCATAGCGGGAGGTGCTTCAACGGATGCCTTGCCATCCCATTCTCTCAGTAGGCGGACGGCTGAGATAAGATCTGAAGAATTCATCTCTATTTATAGCACGGAAATCCTGATCACATGCGACTAGAGGTAATATTCTCCGAATCATATTTAATTTGGATGATACGTATGGTTTTGATTTGTGCTGATGTGATGAGCATCATTGGCTTATTTCATCATTATTAGATTGACTAAGATCCATCATATCACTACTAATCTTAATCACATAAACATAGCTTAGATTGTCTTAATCACATAGCAAAATACAAAGCATCATAAAAGCCCTCGAGAAGTATAAGCTCAATAGAGATGGTGAACCTGATGTCAATCAAGAGTAATAAAACTTACTTTATTGTAAGAGTAATATAGGTTCTATCAACCCGTCTTATTGATTCTTAATCTCAAGAAAGAAAGAATAGTCCAACTAGAGAAGACAACCGTAACCACACCCCAAAACAATGTGAAGAGACAAAAGCACCCCACAATAGTAGATTAAGATCTCACAACAGCAGCTTAAAACCTAGGCATAAACTATTTAAGCACCAAGTTTCCTGAAGAGGACTATAATATGCTTGATAAAGAAACCATCGGCACAAGGTCCATTATGGTTTTAGTTGGAGGGAACTCGGAACTTTTCGTATCGAGCTCCAGTCTCGTTATACGTTTTCAATCCAATCAAACCATTGAACTCCTCAAATGTGGTGAGCTTGTGGAGATGGTCTCTGCTGCTTCCTTCATCCTTCATGACTTTAAGGATGTCAATCAGTGCACGGGCAGAGGCGTAGACAGCCGTGGTGGAATGCACAATCAGATGGAAACCCAGCTCTTTGAGCTCCTGAGGTGTGTGCAAGGGTGTGAAGCCACCTTCAAGCATGTTGGCAGCTCTGAATCCATTTGTGCGCTTGGAGATCTCTCTCATCTCATCATCGCTCCTCGGTGCCTCCACAAAGCAGGCATCAGCCCCTGCCTGCATCAGGTCCAAGTCCAGTATCAAAGTCATCAGTATTAGAGATATTAACCAGAGTAAGCTTATCTGGAAAACCAATCTGAGTAGGAAACTATGCATGTCAAGATGCTGGTCCAAAACAAAAGAAAAAATATATATATAATAATCATGACAGTCAGATGTGTGTGGGAGAGAGAGAGAGAGAGATGTCATAGATCTAACTGAGGCACTATGCTTGTTCACTGTTTCACCAAGAGCTTTGGTTGAAAAGTTCATCAGAAAATTGACAGTAAATGAAGAATGTTGCTGCTTTAAGCTTGAACTATTATGGAAGGGAAACATATAATCACTGCTAATAAAGCATAAGAACCTAAACATGAGTAATGATAAGAGTTTTAAAAAACATATCCAAGATCAGGACTAGGAACTTCATTGGAAATTTAACTACTGCATCTAACATTCACAAAGAGTTGCAGCAAGCTTATGTGTATAATGTACATTTTGTAAATACATTTTTTGTTACATACTACTTTTGTATCAGTATATACATGTATATTTACACATACGACATTCAACATTGGAAAAACATCAGATAACTACTTGAAGTTAAGCATATAAATGAGCATCCCAAATATACCTATACAAGTCAACACAGTCATGGAAAGTTTCAAGGCATGAAGTTATTCAAAGGCAATTATGCAGGGAGCCAGAACTATTAAGGATGAAAATAACTTGAACATAATTCAATCATATACTTCTGCAACAATTGAAAAAATATATATCTAGTTGCCAACTGATTTTGCATAAATGTAGTAATTTATCAATCTGATACCTCCATGTAGAGGTTAGCTCGTGCAATTGCTTCATTTAGACCACCCGCTGTCGCACGTGCATCAGTCCGAGCGATAAGAAAGAAGTCAGCATCACCAATGGCTTCTCTTGCAGCTGCTATTTTTGCAGCATGTTCCCCGGCAGGTATCACCTAAGGTAAGCAACACAAGACAGAGATTAATGCCTCATAAGTATGAGATGCTACAAAATTAAACGGACAGTATTCAAATAATGCAAAAGCTTTACATTCAATGTGGACAGAACTTGAATTTATATGCACATGGATAGTACATGGACAAATATGTAATTTACACAGGAAAAATCACTACCAACCCATTCAAAAAAGGACATAATGTGGAAATCTACTAAGAATTTGTTGTTTTCAATGTATTGACATAAGCTGGAGAGATAAAACAAGCTAGGAATCAGTATTCTTTTAAGCTTATTACCTGTTTACCCTGCATATGCCCTGGTTGCCATAGGAAGAGAAAATGATATATTCATTAGACAGATTATATAAGGAAAGAAGCCAAAATCGAAGACATCTGCAAGTCATATGAAAAGACTGATGTTCCCTTACCACACTTCTTTGGCCAAACTTGATCCTGGAATTAATATGAAATAAGGAAGAAGTTAGATCTATGAATTATAACTATGTTAGAGCAGACAACAATTCTCAGCATAAAGGTCGCAAGAATAACTTATGTATCAGTCACGGTGGTACCTCAAGAAACAAACCAGCGGCACCAGTAGCAATTATATCTTTAACAGTCCTTTGGACATTGAGAGCGTTGCCACCTCCAGTGTCTGCAATATTCACAAAGCAAAAGTAATCAGTCAAGTGCATTTTACAAGATGGACAGCATAAATAAGATAGCGAAACACAATTACAATATCGATGGTCAGAATTATACCTTTGTTAAAAATATAGATCTATACTTTGAAGTGACATTAGACCAATAGAATCAAGTGGACCAACATCATTGTCATTTGTCAAGTCCTAGAACTTGACACCATGGAATTAAATCGAAGGTGCAGAACTCTACCAGTGAGTGAGATATGAGATACTATGATTTATGATTGCAGAAAAAAATATAAAAAATAGTTCTGTGAATAACACAATAATTTTGCTGTTTTTTACCAAGTATCTCATTTGCTTCGATTTAATAGATCATAGCTTTTCTCCGAAGCAACAACTGCCGAAAAGCTAAAGAAGGTTTGAAAAGGCATGCTAAGACTTATCCTCTGGATGAATCATTCATTCTCAATTTTCTTTGCATATAACAGCCGTCTTTCAAGATAGGTGCATTTTTTTTTTTTCAAAGCATATCTCAAAATCATAACCAGAGGTTTTTTATCATTTTGTTTCTTACTGTTCATTCCTCACTCACTCCTCAGCGGCTACTCATTGCGCCTGTTCCTTTTTGCCTCACTATTGCCTTCTCCCTTCCACTTCCAGACCATGGGATGGCAAAGTACCGTACTGACTTGTTAATTCCACAGCTAGCAGTAAGCAAGATCAAGAAGATTCCGTAATTTTATCACCATGAACGGTGATTCCAACTTTGTCTATTCGATTACTCCTTTGCAACTAACTAATGACAACAGTCAGGCTAAAAAATGACAGAGAACTGCGGAAATGTCATTGAAAATAAGAAAATTAACATGCAGGTGGAAGAAGATAATTACCAGCATCAACGATGAATGCGACGTCAGGAGCGGCAGCACAAATTGCTCGAGCTGCATCCGCCATCTCCGGCGGCCTAAAGTTCACAAGGAAGAACCTCAACTCAACCAGCGAAACCAGATGACAAATAAATCGAAGTAGGAGAGTGGGGGGTAAGGGGGGAGATACGTGAGGAGGCCGATGTCAGGCATGCCGAGGCGGGACGCGGAGACGGCGTAGCCGGAGACGAATCCGGCTTTGAAGCCCACGCTCTGGAGCACCGCAGCGGAGAGCGCGTCGTAGATCCCCGGCATCAGCACGATGCCTTCCTCCTCGATGAGGCGGTGCATGCGCGTCTTCCTGGGCTGAGCGCCGGCGGCGTCGGCAGGCAGCGACTTCACAGCAACGGCCGTCGGAGTGTTCGCCATCTCTCTGCAGGCCCACTGACAAGCTGTAGATGGAGGGAAGGAAGCGGCAAGGGGCCGGATTTTATAGCGAGCGCAGGGGGCGAAGGGCAGGTGTGCGTTCCGCTTACCGAGGTGGAGCATTCGCCCCACGGCGGACCCACTCCAACGGCTCTGATCATCTCTCTGTCGGGCCCGATTTAATCCCTTGCGTCCGATTTACCAGTGACAATAAAACAGGTGACCCACCATTGATTTGGAATGCCAGTTTTCTCCGCGGGAAAAAAGGAATTTGTACACGTATACGCTGTAATTTTCGCGTCACCTGCCTCGTTGTTCCTGGCAATTAAAAATATATATTTTTATATATTTATATATATATAAAGACTTTTTTTTCTCAAAAATTATATAGGATGCCCCAATCTGGTCAAATGCCCAAAAGCCTCTAAATTGGTTCATTGAACCGTCGATTTAGATGAACCGAATCGGTTCATATTGTCTAAATTAGACTTATAATGTTATAAAAAATAACAGAGTAATCATTTATATTATATTTTCTTTTGATCATAAAAATTTATGGTACACTCAATTACAGAATCAAGATCAACATGTGTAAAATTAGAACCATCAAATCAAATTAATTTTATGATGTTATATTCATGAATCAAGCATTTGATTCTTAGTATGATATTATAAAATTTATCATAGGTATCGACTAACTTAACCGGTAAGTATCTTTATGAATTATCGTAAGATCCTGGACTCAAATCCCGTCTTCGTCTCTTGTTCTTTGTAAAAAAATTTCATTTATGAGCATGACTATTCAACTATAAATAATATTTTTAGATAATTTTAAAGATTTTAAAATCTAATCATATTAAAATCATGTGATAATCCTTAAAGGTTTTATGTCTTTGATCGATCGTCAAATAATCAAATGTTCTTATGAGTCCATCAAAAGATGAAATTATTATATTATTCGATTTGGTAATTAGGTAGCATTAATCCATCCATCACAAGTCTAATGCTTTTAAATGTGTTCAACAACTCAACTCCATCCTTGAAAGTTTTGGGTCCATCACTTTGACACACTAATAAGCGTGATGTGGACCTCCGTAGCTCGGGACATCTTTTGTCATAAACCCACCGCTGCAAGGGATAATGACATGTAATAATTGTCAATGTCGACTGTATCCAAGTCTCCCACGAACTCTTAATGTCAAGTCATTCACATCACTGACATAATGAAACGTGATAAGAGTATTATAATACACATCCGAAGTTTTCTCGCACGAGTTTGTTCTCTCAAAATGTGATCAGACATTGTTTTTCTTCTGAATATCGAGTCTTCATGATGATGATAATAATAATAATAGGTCTGATTACTATTTCAGTATTATTAATATGTAGAAAAAGAGAATCAAACTATTGACTTTATCTTCCTATTTCGATTTTGATTCAGTTTTCGATTCGATAGAAACTAAACGACTGAATAATAAGATCATTCGAAGAATGATGATGATGATGACAACCTACAATGACTAATACCTACAATCACTCTTCATTTAGTGACATAGTGGTCCATTTTTTTCTTGTTACTATTTCTTTTATTGCTACAGTGTCTTCGTGATGTAGATGATCAAATTTCAGACAGAAAACTAGTATGTTTCCTGCTTGATAATTTTTGGAAGACGAGCATATCTAAATGCTTTCCGATCGTGAATTATCCTCCAGAAGGAGATAGGAAACACGTCAAAGAAAAGAAGGGGCCACACCACTTGAATCCGGGATGGCGTGGTCAAGAACAGGAGGGTTCGCCGGAGATAAGTCCAAAGACCTATAATAATTGACTTGCAGGACATATCACCCCATTGTCATGTACGGTTGAGGCGTCGCTGTAGGCAGTCAGTGGACCGTGATAAGATCACAAGTGGTGATGAACCGTGAAAGCTTCTAATCGATTACTTTGGTTTTGTAATGATATATAAGGCATTCACTTATTGTGATGGACAAAAGGCAACACATGTGCATGCAGCTTCCTCGAAGCTTCTCATGATCATACCCTCTCTCTCTCTCTCTATCTATCTTTTTCGTCTCAATCGATTCAATAATGCTGCAACAATTCCTCGTGAAGGTGACTCCTAAAGATTTGCCTCGATCCCATGCGTTTAACTGACGTGCATCGATCATGAAATCACGTTAAGCAGGACCATTCACGGTACGATAACATAACACAGGTTATGTTTATATGATACTTAATTTATAGATTATTTTTATCCCTGAAGCCAATAGGTTTAGTCATGGAGTACATATTAGAGGCGGAGAGAGAGAGAGAGAGAGAGAGAGGGTGATGCTGATGCAATGGAACTTATCGCAAGGTGGAGACGTGTGGGTCTCGGCTGCTCTTTATCTCAAGTAAAGCTGCATTGGCGACGTTTTCCTTCGCATTCCACTTGCAGAGACGTCCAAACTGCCGTCGTTTTCAGTGAGGTCCGGTACGAATCACAAATTACGTACGGTCGGCGGCGCCGCTGTCGGATGATTGTATTGCGTTCCTAAAGATTAGATTGCCTCGTATGGACCGTGTTACGAATCATTCGTAACGAGAACAAGTGTTCTATGCATCTACCCTTTCGATGCTTTTAAATTTCATCATAGGATCTTGTAGTGATCTATCGATGATTCGAGATATGATCTTCTGCGGCTAATAATCATGGAATGTGATTGTACTGTTGGAAGGGAATCGATCATTATCATGGAGAAAAAAAGTGTCTTTGTCATAAGTTGATGTATTGTTTAGAGTTTGATACCCTTGTAACTCTCCGTCGGTTTCCTTGCAACTTCTAATCCGTGCCATTGTTGCATGGGATAGGCGTCTCAGTGTCTTATTACCATTATATTCTTTTGCTAGTATTCTTGCAACTTCTTATTCGCTCTTACTTTCTCTCTCATACTATGGAGCACGTACATGATCTACTATTGATATTTTAAGGAGAGTACCAAATGAGATGAATTGTGACTGTTTTACGACGGGAGAGATGCACAAATATATTGTATCATGCTTACTTCAATTGTATACATATGGACTACATGACAAGATATGTAAGGGTGTTGGAGAGTCCTAACTTAATTATCCACGTTAGAGTCCTCACTTAGCAGTGAGGAGTGTCAAATGCAAGAATTGCATGAGATCGTCATAACATATTGACTAACTATGAGTGTTGGATGGAGGAGATGTCCGAGGAAGGCATGTCATCTTAATCAACCTATATAAGGAGTATCAAACACATAAAATATATGCGCATGTGAAACATGCCAATATGAATTACCTATATAATGTTGATCGAGGAGAAATGCGAGAGTATTAATGTGCATTGACTCGAATTATTTAGATAGAAAGTATAAGATGTATGAGACAGAGGGTGTTCATTTAATGAGTATCAAATGCTAGAAATATCATAGGGTGTTGGTACATGTGTTTACTATAAGCATAAAAATTATAATTATGTTATTATACCGAATTCATTTAATATCAAAATCTAAAATCAAATTATAATATATAAAATTTGGGATGCGTATCTTTTAATATCACTTATAATATATTTCTTCTGACTTGAATTGTGCTGACTTGAATTGTTCATTTAATGAGTATCAAATACTAGAAATATCATAGGGTGTTGGTACATGTGTTTACTATAAGCATAAAAATTATAATTATGTTATTATACCGAATTCATTTAATATCAAAAACTAAAATCAAATTATAATATATAAAATTTGGGATGCGTATCTTTTAATATCACTTATAATATATTTCTTCTGATCTATAAACACATACCGATATGTAAGATAAATTAGATTTACATTATTCTCTCTTTATATCCTTCATACAACCATTATAAATGATGAAATAAGGCCTAACGAAAGATAATAAATATATAATCTCTCTTCTTTATATAGTTTATAAGTCTTATCTATTTATGGATGAAAGTAAAAGGTCTAAAATAAGTAATTAGGAGAGTCCCATCAAGATTATCTCTAATAAAGAATTATATCAAACTTTTTTTTTACTGATAGATAATCCTAATTAAAATCTAATTATAACTATAATATACTTTATATAATTAAAGAGGATCATACAATTTAATATTCTCCCATTTGCCTATTAATTAGTAAAATATAAAAGAATTCAAAGGGTAATAATCTTACGGTTTCATCTATGTGAGTGAGAAAACATTTATTCCTTCCCAGATAATTAGGGTGGATGGGACAAAGAAAATAGTTCATATCATCTTTCATAAGGGCGATAACATAAAATAGATCTAATGCTTTTATGATCTAGAGTATTTGATTTTAAAATGGGCTCTAATATTAATTGTAAGTATAAAAACTATAATTATATTATTATACATAATATATCTAATGTCAGAATATAAAATTAAATAACAATATATTAAATCTAGGATACATATCTTTTAATGTCTTTTATAATATTTTTTTTTATCTTTAAATACACCATCATTTGATCCGAAGGAAGCACTAATACCGATCTACAAGGAGAACTAAGCTCACTTTCTTCTTTCTTCCTATCTTTCATATGACCACTATAAATAATAGAATAATGACTAACAAAATATAAGAACATATATATAATATTTATTCTGTATACAATCTATAGGTCAGATTTATTTATAGACGAGAGCAAAGGGTATAGAATAAACAATTAAGAGAGTCTCTCCTATCATGATCATCATTTATAATAAAAAAAATATTACCATAATTAGACTTCCTTTATATTGCTAATAACCCTAATTAGACCTAATAAAAAATATAATACATCTCATCTTATTTACATCAACTTCTAATAGGTTGAACCTCTATAATAGAATTATAGCATACATGCAATAGGGTCAACATTGGATAATCTCTTCAAATCCATAATGATATGATTGGAGGCTAATGCAAGATTCTAGAGCCATGTATGTCAGATAATCATTACTCAATGTTAGGTATTAGATAAAATTTAATCAGACATTGCAACAAA